ATTCAGAAAACAAATTTGCAAGCTCGTGTATAGAAACGTATATTTAAACATGAAACACCAACACAATATTTAATATTTTTAATATTTAGCTGGGTGAATAAAATTACCAAGTCTGTGTTGCAAATACTGTATTCCAACATAAGTATTCAATTGGATTCGTTATTCATGTAATGGTGTCCTGTATACACCAGACGTCGATATACATATACGAAACTACCATGTATTATTTTACGTGGATGGCACACAAGTCGCCTGTAACAATGAGATGACAGCCAATAACATATATCTGATGTAGGAACTCTACTTAATAGATGAATTTGTTCTTCAATACAATAACGGCTAGTTTGCTTTATTGGAACCAATATATGTCGAAGTGGCATATGTTTTTTGATTATTTTTGAAGTTTACAAATTACATTGCTTGTATCTATGTTTTACATGCATTATTATCAAGGTTCGAAATATGCAATTATGACCCCAATTTTAGATCGATATAAACATGAAGTCATACAGGAATCAAACACGCAAGTAAAAGCAGAACCTTACAATCCCCTAAAATACTATTCTAACTGTTAAAGTGAATAACAGTCTTAGAAAGAAATCAGTAGTATGTTACTATGGGGGACATATGTTTATGATTTTATGTTTAAGTGTATTTATGCAAATAACGATTGTTCGAATGACCACACGATTGGTTCAAGGAACATTTCGGTACCTTTGAACAAGAATGTAGCCCTTTAAATTACTAAAAATGCTAATTGGAAGACTATATACTATAGTTTAATTTTATTCAGTCAATTTTGTCTATACTTTTGGCACGGAGGCGATTGCATCACCCCATACATGTCATATTAGTGAACACTTTAATGACACACTTATGTTCCCGTACGGTGTTTTATTTTGTGTGTTTACAATATACTTAAAAGGCGGTGGTCGGTGTGCCACGCATGCGCGAGATATGTGACTCATATGAACAAAGATGGCGACTATTGCGCAGACCAACGAATATACGTGAATTAAATCACTAAGCTTTAACTATGTCATTTCATTGGTGATTGGAAGGTATCGACGGAGTCACCGACAGTAATATGTGTACGTTGCACCTTAGTAAAAACACATACTCTTGATTCCATTAGAAGAGCGTATTGGATTGTGGGGAAATCAATGTTTATCAACACAAACGTCGCACATACGCGGCGCGACGACCACCGCCTTTAATATTCATCAAAACATGTTTTAATTACTCATTCAAACAATCTTTTTAAAATGAACACTGCTGCTACTATTGAAAATTACAGTAGTTTAGGAAACAAAGATAAATAATTCATTCCACCAGATCAACACCGATATCTCTGGGTAAACATGGAGGGATATCGATTTTGCTCGAATAACATCTTGTATGGAGATTTAGTTAAAGTTGTATTCAGACTTTGTAAATATATTAAAAGTCAAATATCACAACAAGCTAAATACACAAATAACTTGTATTTTTAACTTCAATAAAAAATAAAGCCAACTAACTGGAGACTAATAGGTGATTTTCCGAACAATTGCGAGATCTCGCGAGATGCATGAAAGACGCGCGTCGAACGTCTGCCGCAAAAATCGAACGATTTGATTTTGAACTAGAATTTCTTTATTTCGCAGCTTACATTGACCGGCCGATCTTCGACAGAGGAATATTGCTCCCGAATACCCTTACTTAATCGAAATTGCCTGTCATCAAATGTGGACAGCACATTATTAAGCATGGCAATGTCCCCGAAATACTTTCGCGTTTGTCGAATCCCACGCGATGTTTGACGCGACTACGACGCTATGACCTTTGTTT